CTATCTCAAACCTCACCTGTCCTAGCTCTGCAACCTCCTTCTACAATTTCACTCTCTCCTCTCAACCTGACATCATGGCACCTCCTACATTTAAACGCAGCAAGCGCCTCCAACAACAACCTTGGCACACCAAGATGACTCAATATCTCCAAAAATGCTCCAGAACTACTGAACGCTGTTGGAGAAAGTCTCACTGTGCTGCGCTCATACAGCTTGGCTCTTTCCTCTGCAAAAGTAAATTACTTCAATACCCTCATAACCACACTCTCCCGCGAACCCAAACGACCATTTCACACATTTAACTCTCTTCCTCACCCTATTGTTCCTCCTCTACCTACTAACTTGACCGCCTCAGACTTTGCAACTCACTCCACTGACAAGATCTCTACAATCAGGGAAGATATCTCATCTTTCTTCTTCCCCTTACAATACTTCCCCTAACCTTACTCCCTCTGCTGTTCTATGTTAATTCGCACCCGCTACAGCGGAAGAGGTTTCTGCTCCAGTCCTCCCGCCCCACCACCTGCTCCCTAAATCCATTTCCCTCGCATCTCATCCATATTCTGTCTTCTTCTCTTTCTCTACCTCTCACTAAAATTCTCAATCTCTCTCTCTCCTCTGGCATATTTCCATCCCCCTTCAAACATGCAACTGTAACCCCAATTCTAAAGATGCCCAACCTTGATCCTAACTCCCCGTTTAACTACCGTCCTATCTCGCTACTGCCTTTTGTATCTAAGATCCTTGAAAGAGTTGTGTATGCGAGATTAACAGACTTCCTCAAGTCCAACTCTCTGCCAGACCGGCTTCAGTCTGGTTTCCGCACTAAGTACTCTGTGGAAACGGCACTGACCAAAGTATCCAATGATCTACTCGCTGTAAAATCTCGTGGTCACTATTCTATCCTAATTTTCCTTGGCCTGTCTGCAGCTTTTGACTCTGTTGATCATCAGTAGGTTCTTCTCATCTTCTGCAATATCCATCTACAAGATATTGCTCTCTCCTGGTGCTCCTCCTACCTCTCCCAGCGCTCTTTCTCTTGCTCTGCTTCTTCGCCCCAACTCCTCTCTGTTGGTATCCCCCAGGGTTCAGTCCTTGGTTCCCTACTGTTCTCTATCTATACTGCCTCCCTTGGTAAACTCCATTTCATCTCCTCTTTTGGCATCCAATATTATTTATATGCGGATGACACGCAAATCTACCTGTCCTCTCCTGATCTCTCCCCGTCCCTCTTGACTAGTGTCTCTGACTGCCTCTCTGCTATTTCTAACTGGATGGCTGCCCACTTCCTTAAACTCAACTTGACCAAAACTGAAATTCTGGTCTTTCCTCCCTCAAGTGTTGCTACTCCTGTGTCTGTCTCCCTCCAAGTCAACGGTGCTACCATCAGCTGCACCACGCAGTCTCACTGCCTAGGTGTTCTCTTTGACTCTGACCTCTCCTTCACGCCTCATGTTCAGTCTATCGCAAAATCCTGTTTCTTTCATCTCAAAAACATTGTGCAAATCCGCCCCTACTTAACACCAGATGCGACTAAGGTGCTGGTCCATTCCACTGTCCTTTCTCGCTTTGACTACTGTAATCCACTTCTCAGTTGTCTTATGTGCTCCCAACTTGCGCCGTTATAGTCTATAATGAATGTAGCAGTGAGGCTCATCTTCCTGTCTGCCTGCACATCCCACGCCTCACCCATCTTTCAGTTCCCTACATTGGCTTCCTCTAAGATATAGGGCTCAATTTAAAATTCTGGTTCTTGCTTTCAAATCTCTACATAACGCTGCTCCCACCTATCTACCCTCCCTAATACACAAGTATGTCCCGTCTAGGCCTTTACGCTCTGCTGAAGACTTACGTCTATCTTCGGTCCTTCTCCCACCTCTGATGCTCGCCTTCAAGACTTCTCGAGGGCTGCACCATTCCTGTGGAACTCACTTCCATCCTCCTTTAGACGCTCACCCAGTCTCCACTCCTTCGGAAAATCATTAAAAACCCACTTCTTCATAAAAGCGTATCAATTAAACTTTTAATAGCTCCCGACTGATTCCTTTCTTGCAACTTTCATTAGTCTAATACTATCCTTACCTTTTGTGTCACTTTATCCCACTCCCTTTAGCATGTAAGCACATTGAGCAGGGCCCTCAACCCCTCTGTTCCTGTGTGTCCAACTTGTCTGGTTAGAACTACATGTTTGTTTGTCCACCCACTGTAAAGCGCTGCAGAATTTGTTGGCGCTATATAGATAATAACATAAAATAATAATAATAATAATAAAGAAGAAAATATGAAAATACTATCAAAAATGTCTACATTAGATCTTAAGATAAATAATTTGGAAGATCGTTTAAGAAAGAAAAATGTGAGATTTCAAAACTTTGCATTATCTACTAACCAAGAAGATTTGAGACACATCTTAAATTAATATTTTGCCGCTTTAGGTCTTTCAATAAATGGCCAAGAAGAAAGGATTGCCATAGGATAAGTAAACTTCAAAATATTCCAACAGATTTTCCTAGAGATAAGATACTACAAGCTTTCAGAGAAAAAACAATCAAAGAAGGACACTATCTAAAGATAATAATAATAATAATGAAATACATGAGGTTCACTTGATTTGAAATAAATAAGAAAATTCTTTGTCTAAGGTCACTATAGAAAGTTAAATTGTTAAAAATACCAAAATAAGGGAAGTCGAATGGAAAACATAACACTTCAAGATATAAGAGGTGAGGGCGGAGGGATAAGTGGAGAGAGGGTGGGGGGTTTACCTCTCCTCTTCTTCATACAGTTCTCTCTTTCTCTCTCTCCTCATAATTTGGAATTGGAATTTATAAATTAACATTGTCTAGGTTAAAAGAGGGGGAGGTGGGAGGGCAGGGAGGGAAAGTATACAAGTTAAATTGTAAAAAAAATGAAAAGGATATTTTTCCGAAATTAAGTAACCAGGAAAAATTGGTGTTATTTCACAATTTTTTTAATTTTTTTTATTTTAAGGCAAGGAACAACTCCAAAGATAAAAAATATATCCACTCCAAATGATACACATTACTTTGTGCGATATTACTACACAGTTTGCCAAGTAGCTCTATGAGCTACAGAGAAAATCATGGAATAAAATTCCTAAAATTATATGCGTTATATGTAAATGGAGATCAAGAGGATA